CATTTGCCGGAAAAACCGGTGCCGGTAGCAACAAAAACTGCGGGGAACCATGCAAAAAACGCATCTCGCATGGGCAGCACGTGCGCTGGTCAATTATTACATCACATGAACATTCGTTTAAACATCACGCCAAGCATGCTTTTTCGGGAAGAATCCCCCTTCTGGAAGTTTCATGGTTACGCATATCCTCCCTCTTCCAGCCCAGAATAAATCTCGGCAACACAACTAGACAATGTAATCGTAAAATCTGACGCGATACATCTTTGGCGGTGTCGATGAATTTTTGATAGTTGGTGAAGACGCTCTTTTTCATCGATTCCGACGACTGGATGTTGATCGCGTTCAGTCGGCTGCGCAGCGCATGCAGCTGGCGCATCTCATCGCCGCTTTTCATATCTTTCAGCTGATCCCAGACATCTGAAATTGTTACGTATTAAATGTATACTTTGTCTAAATTCTCTTCTGCCTTTACGGCGACTCGAAAATTTCATCCCTAATTAATGTCGTCTCCCTTTCTACACCCTCCTCCCTCTCTCTCCAGCACTAGCGCCCATCTCAATACATGAACTAACTGAAATAGTAACGTGTTTTGTATTATCCTTTCATTCTTATGCATTTTGTGCGGTGTAACAGCAATACAAAACACATATAGTCACGTGGTTGTCTGTTTGCATGTGTGTATGCGTGTGTGTGTGTGTGTGTATGTATGTATGTGTGTATGTATGTATGTGTTATGTATGTATGTGTTATGTATGTATGTATGTATGTATGTATGTGTTATGTATGTGTTATGTATGTATGTATGTATGTACGTATGTATGTATGTACGTATGTATGTATGTATGTATGTGTGTGTGTGTGTGTGTGTCCGAGATCTTGTCCCGCACTTTCAACTCGGGAGCCACAAAAGCAAGGAAGCTGAATATTTAGAGGAATGTTTCCCACCCAGATGTGACGTTTGAAATTTAAATTCACCTTTCCCCACACCCGGATATCAAGTACGACTCCATGAAAATTTTGACGAGGGATTATTGTTTCGAGAACCATAAAAGCTAGGGGGCTGAAAATTTTAGGAGGATGGTTTCTGCCTATGCATTGGCTTCACAAACTCAAATTTAGTTCCCAATTCTGCTGCGGTCTCACACACGACCAAGTACAAGTTCCGGCGAGAAAATCACTCGAAAGCCATAAAATTAGGAATTTGGAATTTTGGAAGGATTTTCACTGTTCAAAAGTTTCAAATCGAGCTTTCATGTACCGCTACGTCAAATATTTCGTGGGAAATTTCGCAACTTAGGAACCAGACAACACTTCAACTATTTTTGCACAGAACAAAGTGCAAGGCAGAGAAAATCCTTAACAGGCAATCGACTGTTGGCCGAAACAGCGGCACGCACCAGAGCAGCAGTGCACACCACTATTTATTGTCCAGAGAATGAAAAACTGAATTTTACTGGCAGCAAAATACGAACACAATGTGGCATCGAACTCTTCCTCGGTAAACTGATCCTCACTCACAACAGATCCATCGCTTACCGCATTCAATGCTGCCATCTGCTCGACCCGCAATGTTTCTGAAACGAGGAAAAATGAGAGAAAAATTCCGAAAGCAAACCAATCAGGGCTTCTTTCGCCGTCCTATCACTTCTTCCCCGTGAAGGTAAGTGCTTCACAAGCGAAAGATCATCGATCCGACGCGCGAACCGAAAATATCTCAATGTACTCCCAGTAATGGCTGATTCAAGAAGACTGGTTATGCAATTTTTTTTTTTTCTTTTTTTTGTACAGTTTTTTATGCGTTTTGTGCTTGTAACAGCGTTACAAAACGCATATTGTCACGGGTTTGTCTGTGTGTGTGCTTGTGCGTGCGTGTGTGTGTACGTCCCACATTTTGTCTCGCACTTTCAACTCGGGAACTACAAAAGCTAGGCGGCTGAAATTTTGGTATAGTGTTTCCCACCACGGGTGACGTGGCAAATTTAAATTCAGCCTTCCCGTACACGCGGGTAACACGTACGGCCCCGTGAAAGTTTTTTAGGGGTAAATTAATATCTCGGGAACCATGGAGTCTAGGAGTTAGAAATTTTAGGGTAATGACCCCTTAGCCACGGGTAACACGTACGGCCCCGTGAAAGTTTTTTACGGGTAAATTAATATCTCAGGACCCACGGGGTCTAAGAAGCTGAAATTTTAGGGTAGTAACCATCTGCTCACACTCAACCTTGCCTACTCAAATTCATCGTTCCCTCGCTATTGAGTATCACCTACGGCCTCGTGGGAATTTTGGCGGTTAAACTATTAACTCGAGAATCACGGAAAGATATTCACCCTTCACGGTTTTGAATTCAGCTTTGTGCGCTGGTGCGTGAAATTTTCAACTATTTTCCAATGTTTGAATATTTTTGCACAGGCAAAAGTACAAGGCAGTGAAAATCATTAATAGGCAATCGTTTGATGTGCTGAATTGCACAAAACGCATGGTCGCACCGGCTAGTCTGGTGCGCATTGCTATTTATTTTTCACAAAAACTGTTATGGATTGTGTGTGAAGGAAAGAAGCTGAGCCGAA